GCTCACCGCCCGGAGGCTGGAGGCTGTGCAGGAACTGGGCAGGGGAGCACTCCCCGCCCGGTTCCTGCACAGCCGGATGAGTGCTCCCTCTGCCCCTTCCTACGGCTGCAGAGGAACCGGGCGGTGAGCTGGTGTATAAAAAAAAGTTTGTATACCCCGCACCCAAGTATACCCCATGGGGGTGTGCAGGGTTTGTAAAAACGAGTATAACCCGCGGGTTATATTCGCTAAATTACGGTACATGCCTCTGCAAAGTGAGTTCCTGTGGGTTCCTCCTACAGTGGCGAGAGCCTTTGGCATTGACCAGGTACACATTGAATACTGCGCACAGATGTGGTCACCTCATCATAAAGATATATTGGCATTGGAAAAGGTTCAGAAAAGGGCAACAAACATGATTTGGGATATGAAACAGGTTCCACATAAAGAAAGATTTAAATCGAATGCTAAAGGCAGTTCCTGCCAGTGTTCAGCGCTCCTCTCTTTGTGAGGAGTAAGGGAAGCTGATGGGAGGCTTTTGCTCCTGTCAGCCTCCCTCAGTGTGGACGCCACCACGGCTCATCTTAAGGTAAGATTACTCCAAGTATGCATTTTGCGTAGCTGCAGTTGTGTACCTTAAGCCTTCCTTCCAGGTTCAGTGTAGATCTGCCCTCAGTCCACTAACAGCTTAGCCCTGCCATATTATCTGTGGGCAGAAGAACCCACATTTCACTTTAGCTGGGTTGTGAGCAGCTGTAAGGATCCACCCATGTGGATCTCTAAGGTGCTACAGGACCATTGTTGTTTTTAAAATTTTGTTAGTTACAGATTAACATGGCTACCTCTCTGAGACTTTCAAAATGGTTATAGTATTACATTCACAACACAACTTTCAATGGCTTTTTAGTCTCAGATATAACTAGAACTAGTACCTATATACATTTTTATATTACCAGATTATTTAATTTACAAAGTACAGCAATGAAGGGAGAACATTAAATCCTTTCTTTTACGAAATTGCAAATATTCCATGGAGTTGCTTCATAGTATCCTACTACAGTTTTCACTTTGTCTATACAGGGCTTTATAGTGTGGCTACTTTACAAAGATACAAGGAATTTAGCGTCTACACTATAGATACAGGCACACATACATTGTCTCATAGATACCGCAAGAGGAAAGTCCAAATCCTGCTTTCACATTAACAAGTACAACTCTCACTGAATTCAGTGTGCTGTGTGCAAGTATCTAAAGTCAATTTGGCTCAATGACTTTAAAGACTTACCAGAAATTATTTCTGATGCAGTAATATTTATAGTATAGATTCTTTAACTATGTAAAGAAATTTCAATGAGGTTCAAGAATAAGGCTCCCTTGGGTCATTAATGGTGCAGGCCAGTGTTTTTCAATTTCAGGCCTGTGGACCCATGTCGTCCACAGACTATGTCCATGAGGGTCTGTAAAAGGTCATTGTTGCCATAGAACAGTGATTTTTCAACTGTGATCTGTGGACAACATGGGGGTCCACAGAGTACATCTAAGATTTCCAAAGGGGTCTGACCTACATTTCAAATTTTTAGAGGTTAACAACAACTCTCTGACTATGGTTATCCAGCCAATTATGCACCCATCTTATTGTGGCCCTATCTAAGTTATATTTGCCTAGTTTATCAATAAGAATATCATGCGAGACCGTATCAAATGCCTTACTAAAGTCTAGGTATATGACATCCACCGCTTCTCCCTTATCCACAAGGCTCGTTATCCTATCAAAGAAAGCTATCTGATTAGTTTGGCATGACTTGTTCTTCATAAACCCATGCTGGCTATTCCCTATCACTTTATTACCTTCCAAGTGTTTGCATATGATTTCCTTAATTACCTGCTCCATTATCTTCCCTGGGACAGACGTTAAACTGACCGGTCTGTAGTTTCCTGGGTTGTTCTTATTCCCCTTTTTATAGATGGGTACAATATTTGCCCTTTTCCAGTCTTCTGGAATCTCCCGTCTGCCATGATTTTTCAAAGATCATAGCTAAAGGCTCAGATACCTCCTCTATCAGCTCCTTGAGTATCCTGGGATGCATTTCATCAGGACCTGGTGACTTGCTGACATTTACTTATTCCCACAATATAAGAATTAGGGACCACCAAATGAAATTAATAGGCAGCAAGTTTAAAACAAACTAAAAGAAGTCTTTCTTCACTCAGTGCTCAGTCAACCTGTGGGACTCCTTGCTAGAGGATGGGGTGAAAACTAGGACTTTAACAGGGTTCAAAAGAGTGCTAAACAGCCATTGATGGGCCTAACTTCCATGAGTCTTATTAGCCAGGATGGGTAGGAATGGTGTCCCTAGCTTCTGTTTGTCTTGAAATGGGTGACAGGGGAGGGATCACATGAGGATTACCTGTTGTTCCCTCCCTCTGGGACATCTGTTATTGGTCACTATTGGCAGACAGAATACTGGGCTAGATGGACTGTTGGTCTGACCCAGTATGGCCATTCTTATTCATCCCTCCCATGGGCAGAGATTACGAGGCAGGGAGGGCTCATCGTTTAAACCCTTGTCATCCAGTCATATACTCATAAAGACACAGGCCTGGAAGGGCCTCTAAACATCAAGCTCAGCCCCTCTGCACTGTGGCAGGACCAAGTAAATCTAGACCTTCCCTGGCAGGTGTTTGTCAAGCCTGTCCTTAAAAGCCTCCAATGAGAGGGATTCCAAAACTTCCCTTGGAAGCCTGTTTCAAGGCAGACTGCGAAAAGCTACAAAAACGGGTAATATGTCGGGGGGCCCGAGGAGGCACATGCCCCTCCTGTGCTCTGTGTTTAGGGAGTCGAGGCCAAAGCCTCTGGGCAGCCTGAAGGACTAGTGGGGGGCCTAGTGCCCATAGTAGGGGTTAAACTCCCCCCAATCGCCTGCCACACTCACCAGCAGTGGTGGGATGGAGGGGGAACTCTCCTGCCTTCTGGCCAGCATCACTTAGGGTGTGCCTAGACTACAGGTTTTTTTTAAAACCGTGTCTAGACTGCTGTCGCGTTTTTGAAATTAAATCAAAAGTACGCGGCGGTTTTTTTGACCTCAGTAAACCTCACTGAAATAGTGCTCTTTCGAAAAAAAGCATTCTTGAATGCAAACAAGGCTTTTTTGAAAGAGAGCATCCAGACTGCCTGGATGCTTGTGACGTAGTGGGGGGTACCTTGCTGGTTGCTTTGCTGGACAGTGGGTTGAGAGTGACCTCCACTGGCTGTAGCATGGCCCAGCAGGGCTGGGGATGAGTCATTAAGCAAGGGGGCTTCAAAACTGGTCAGACAGGTATTGGCCAGGGAGCAGAACAAAGAAAGGAGGGCGAGGTCAGCCCTGGCTGGTGGGCAGGGCTGGAGGAGAGTGGGGCAGTTTTTCTGTCTGGCATGATGGGGGGCCCAGTCTCCCCCATCTCAAGGGGGGCTGAGGCATCCTAGGCCTGCCCTGGAACCAGATTACATCTGTGCTGAATCCTGGAAAAGCAATAAACACCTCTATTCTACTGGCTGGTAGAGTCTGTTCGTGCCATTACGGGGGTGCAGGAGACAGGAAAACCCCAACGCGGCTCGCTTTTTTGAAAGAAGTGGTTGCAGTCTAGATGCTCTTTCAAAAAAGGCTTGTAGTCTTCTAGACATAGCCTCAGGGAACAAGAGGACAGCCCTCTGCATGTACCAGCTGGAAGCAGAGGACACTGAAAGTGTGTGTATGTGGCGAGAGCAAGCTAGGGACATGTTGCCCTGCTTCCTCCCACTGCCATTGGTGTGTAGGACCCCCCCCCACACACACACACACACACACACACCCTGGTACCAGCAACAGGCCACCCCACTGGTGCCCCAGAAGGAATTATAAATCTGTGCTAGAAGATTGTTTTAAGCATGTAAGCTAAATGCAGGTCAGCAAAAGGTGACATGCCTTATCTGCAATCTGAAAAAAATCAGGTTAAGAAATGTGTTTTTCTGTCAGTCT